ACTGGACCTTGACAAGGCCGCCGTCCTGTCTTCCACCTGCCCAGCCTAGTCTTAGCAAAATTCCTGCTAAGTCAGTTTATGGAGAATCCCCTCACCCTTGATATCTGATTACCCTTGAGATTTGATCAAGTTCTTCATCCCCCATCTTTGGTGTCTATGTCTTTGGCCTGCCTTGAGCAAGAATCCCCCTACTTTGATGGTTCCTCTTGGTAATTTTCCATCCACTGACCCCCCTCACTCTGCTCCTTGGCTATAAATCCCCACTGGCCCTCGGAGTATTTGGAGTTGAGTCCAACCTCCATCCCTTATTGCAACATTCTTGAGTAAAGACTTCCTCACCGCTTTAACAAGTGGCAGAACACTTTTTTCTTTAACACTCTCCCTGCCCAAGGGAAAAGTCACCCCAACAAAGTGAGCAGCCCTGGGTGGCAAGAGAGGGCTGATGCCACTGCCAATCAAATTTAGACTCCTCACCTTGACATTCAAGGCCCAGGCAAGAATCTCGAGCCTCATTTCTCTCTTATGTGCACCCCACGTATAGCAAAACTAGATGCTTCACTGCTCTTTATAACACCTGAACTCTCCTCCCATCCTGCATAGCTCAGGCTTCTCCTTCCACCTGGACTGTCTCCTCTCCTTCTTCTGATCCACCTGCTCTGAGTCGCAGAGATCTCTCCCCTGGTGATGAGACTATTTATGACCAGGTTTCAATTCCTCCTGTCTTCCACAACTACACAACCTCCCATTTGAGCTGGGTACATGGTTCTCTGAGGTAAAGACTACACTTAAAGACTACATTTCCCAGCCTCCTTTGCAGCTCACGTGGTCACACGACTGAGTTCTGACCAATGAGAGGTAAGCAGAAGCACTGGGTGTTACCCCCCGGAGTGTTCTTCATGTTCTTATGCCTTTCCTTCTCCTCCCTCTATTTGATGTAATGGCTAGAACTCCAACAGCCATCTCAGACTATGAAGTGATCTTGAACACAGAAGCTACCCATGTGGAGCAACTAGGTTCCTGGCAACATGGATCATCATACCAATACGAGGCTGTCCCCTCCAGACTTGCACATGAGAGATAAATTACCCTCCTTCTTGTGGTAGCCACTGATCTTTTGGGATTTTCTGCAACTCACGGCTGAACTTAATGCTATTAGATCCACACTTTCAAACCTGTGGAGGCACAGACTCTGGACTCTTGGGTTACCATAACACACTGCGCAGAATCATCATTTGCCTCTTCTTTCCAAGTTAAATACCAAGCAATCTGAAGGCTGGAATTGTGCCCTATCCATTTCCATCTTCCCCTGCCACAGGAAGCATGAGGCCTCATACATAACACAAAGTATGTCTTAGGGCTGAAGTGAATCTTTCTGCGCATACAATACTCCACACAGCTCCCCAATTCACAACCATACCCTCAGCAAGCTGCAAGCCTTCCTGGGAGAGTGCACCCAAGTATAGTCGCCCTTCTCCCCCTCCAGGCTGCATGCTCCCTGCAGCCTCCCAGGAGGAGCACGCCTTACCAGGATGTCTGAGCCCTTAGGTTCCTCCCCTGTGGCTGGGCTGGAGCAGTTGCTGAGTTTGAATATCCAGTACTCCCGGGCAGTGATAAAGAAGTTCCATGGCAGCAGGCTGCCGATGCCCAAGCTGAAGAAGATGATGTAGGCACCGTGGAAGCGGTCCTTGGGCCTCTGTAGGCCAGGTGGTGGGCGGTCCAGCTGCTTCTCAAGCAGAGCTTCTTGGTCAGCTCGGAGAGAGCTGCTTGCTGTTCTGTACGTGGAGTTGGAACTGTGATGAAAGTCATCCTCTGAGATGATGGCCACTGTTGGAGCAGAGTGAGAAACAGAGACAGGGCAACTGATCAGAAGCTGAGACCGGGCATAGCTGGGGACACACCAGTCCTACAGAGCAGACTATGTCCCCACCCTTGGATCCACAGGGTCACCAAAATGTGGCCAGAGAACTCAGGTTTAAAGATTAGGGAGAAAGACAAGATATCAGAACTGTAAGTGACCTCAGGGCTCCTCACCACAATGCCCACGCAGGAGCAACATAGTAGCAAACAAATGTGGGGCTGGCCAGGAGTAAGGCAACGTGGCATAGTGGGGCCTGTGGCAATCAATCTGCACAAGCAAATCCGGTCTCAAGGCATTCAAATTTCCAAGCAGCCATAACAAAAGGAATTAGGACCCTTAATGAGCAAATAAGGCTCTCTAAACTCTTTTCAACCTTATGTGTGAAAAGTAAGGAGCAGGAAAATGTGTCGAATATGGTACTACTTGTGCAAAAAACCAGGGATGGGGTGGGTGGAGAGGAGAAAATACACATGTGTGGATGTATATCCTCTGAAAGGATAAAGAGAAATTTTGAACTGTGATTGCCTCTGAGGAGGAAGGCTCGGGACGTGGAGATGGGGACTTCACTGCATACTCTTTGTGCCTCTTGAAATTTGAACTTTGTGAATATATTATCTGCTCAAAAAATAAAATTATAAATAAAAGTAAAGGCATTCAAATTAAATAACACTAAAAAAAAAAAAAACAACCCATGGTATCTAGAGCTGCCTCCAGAAGTCAGTTTGAGACATTGGATAGTCCACTCTCTCATTTCTCTTGTGGGGAAAGTAAGTCCAAAGAGTGGAAGGTCATAGACTTGCCTGGGTTTGCAGCTCCTGCCTGGTCCCCCACCTCTGTTCATCACATCCCACCAAGAGGCTGCAACTCCTGGTCTGCGGTAGCAGCTAAGACAAACTAAAGACTCTAGGTTTCCAGTAACCATTGTGTACATGGCCTTGGGCAAGTCACCATGCTCTGAGCTTCAATTTCCCCATCTGCAGGGAAGCCTTTTTACAATGATTATGTAACAGCAACTGGCTGGCAATGCTGACAAACATCAGCATCTTCCCTGCCATCCTGGGCTTGTCACCTGGCTGACTGGCTGTGGAATTTGGCTGCAAGGTAGCATGTCGACTTCTATGCTCTACATAGCTATGGCATCAGCTTGATAAATGGGAAATATTTTCATAAAGCTGAGGATGGGACACTATGTAGTCCCTTCTGCAGTTGCTTCCTCCCTAAATAAATCAATGCATCTCAGCTCACATAGGAGGCTGAGCCTTAACTCAGAGCATCAAGCCAGGCAAGGTGAGATAGGAACACTCTCTCACATAGGTACAGAGACATCTGCTATTTCAGGAGAGCCTCACAATATTCCTCAGAATAAGGTAGGACAGGAATTATTGCCTCCTTTTAATCAGCTGCAAAGAATGAGGCCTTAAAGTCACTTGATTTTCCCCACATTCAAACAGTAAGAATTCCTGATCACTAAAATGAAATCCTGTACTCAAGCATATCAAGGTTTGCACCTAGCACTTGAGGCTGACAACAGCCTAATATGGTAGGTACTACTCGAAGACCCATTTCACAGGTGAAGAGGGAGGCTCAGAGAGGTTGAGTCATTTGCCCAAGATCACACAGCTAACAAATGGCAAGAGTGAGATTACACAGCCAAGCAGTCTGAGGCCTATGTGGACTCCTTGGCCTCCCCAGGAGGAGGGTGGCTGGCAATGTGCACCCTTGTCTGCTAGCTCCAAGTACAGACCTTCTGGAAGGGCTCTCGGCCGGTGAGCTGTAAGCAGAGGCAAAGGCAGCACTGCAGGGCACCCTCATCATTGTCTGCTGAATGAATGGACTCTGTGTAGACAGGATATTTTCCCCTACTGGGGCAGCATATATCCTTCAGCAGGCAGGCAGGAGGCAGCCGGATGCCCAGAGCACCCGAGTCAGCAAGACTATTTTAAATTCCCCTGGTTGAGCAGAGCCCTTTCCCGGCTTTGATTCACAGAGAGCTCAGCACTAACAAACTAATCAGACAGTGTGGCCACAGGCACACCTGCGTGCACACACACCCCATTGCTAAATAAGTATTTGAAAACATAAAAATTATGACCCACGTAGGACAACAGACAAAGGGCAAGTGATTCTTTCCAGATGCTCCAGCTGCAGGGGTGGGTGCAGGGACCAATAGCTGGGTCACTCAGGCCACACTTGGCCGGAGCCCATTCTCAGCTCCAGGTGTCTATTTGTCCAGGACCATTCAGCCTTGACCAAGCTTCTGAAGAAGCCAGGAATTTTCTCTTACCCAGGTCATAGGCCAGGGCACTGGAGTGAGCAAAGTCTTATTACTCTTTATGAAAGCTAGCTGCTGGCTTTTGGATTAAAAAGAGAAAAAGAGAAGAAAGGTAAGAGCCCCGGCATCCTCAGGACCGGCTGGCTGTGGCCTCCAGTGTATTCGTTCCTCAGGCACCTGCAGGAACTGGCTGGGCTCAGGCCCTGCTCCCTTCCTGGGTGACCTGGGGCAAGAAGCCAGCCCCTAACACAAAGCAGCAGAAACTCGTGGGCCGGCCACAGCAGACAGTCCTCCGGGACTAGGTGCTGGCTCCCAGGAAGTTTCTCACTCTGGCTAAGTCAATCTCACCTCTGTGTCTCGATTTCCTCATCTGTGAAATGGGGGCAGGAGGGCTGGCGAAGCTAACCTATGGGAAAGCCTTACTGGGAAACACAGCGCACCTCCCAGAGGCCAAGGCGGAATCTTCCTGGGAGTTGTGAACACCTGCAGCTTCAGGCTCCCTAATCTGGACAGTCAGCTACCTTCTGGGTACTTTAGGCAGACCTGTCCAAATCCAGAACCCCACATCCAGGCGGTGAGGTCCAGTCTCAGGAAATCCACAAAGAGGAGGAGGAGGAGGACAGAGAATCTGGGAAAGAAAGAAGACAGAGACCCAGGAAAAGGGAAAGTGAGAGGAGAGTGGAGGAGGAGAGAGCAGGGAAGAAGAGATGGGACCTTGGGGAGGAGGACATAGCGAGAGGCGCCCAACGCAAGGAGGCTCAGGCCCTGAGGCTCCCGTGGAGTCCCCTCAGGAAAGCCCTGGCGGGAGGCGCCGAAAGTGCGAGCCCTGGGGAGGGAGGGTGACCGGGAGCCTGAAGAGCTGGGTGGAGGCCAGGCCCGTGCCCGACCGCCGACCCGCACTTACTGTCGCCGCAC